GAGGAGGCAGGAGAAGAGGGAGGGTAAGTTGCTTCCTCCCTGCCTCTCCTCACCCCTGCCTGCCTGGGGCCAGGGAGGGCCTTCACGGGGCTTCCATGCACTCCCGCCGGCCTTGCAGGTCCACCGCCGGGCCCCTCATGGGGCTCGGCAGTGGAGCTGCAAGGCCAGCGGTGGTGGCCGGGACCGTTGGGGGCGGGTGTGTGGCCTTATGACACACTTCCGGTGATGTCAGGGGGTGTGGCCTTATGACACTTCCGGTGATGTCAGGGGGTGTGGCATATGCTAATGAGTTATGCTAATGAGTTCCCCTAGCTCCTTTTCTACGAAACGACCCCTGACAGCAACTGATGTGTGGATAGTTAAAATCACCTATTATGACAGAGTTACTTCATCTAGCTGCTTTCCTTAATTCTTTTACTGATTTTAAATCATACTCTAATCTTTGGTCTGGTGGGCGATAACAAACTCAGAGTTAAACTTCCTTTTGGGCATACTATTTTCACCTATAACATTTCTGTAAGTGAATCCATTTCTCTTGAATTCTCAATTTTACTGGACTGTATAACCTCTGACATACAGAGCCACTCCACCTCCAATCATTCCTTCCCTGTCCTTCCGATATAATTTATAACCAGGAATCACTGTATCCCACTGATTATCCTCATCCAACCAAGTTTCTGAAATGCCCATAATGTCTATATTCTCCTCTGACACTAAGCATTCCAGCTCCCCCATTTTACCTCAGACATGTCTAGCATTTGCATATAAAAACTGCTCTGCCACCTTTTTGATTTTAAGCACCAGCAGCCTGGTTCCTTGTCAGGACAAGTGGAGACCTCTCTTTTGTACAGGTCCTGCTTGTTCCAAAAAGCATCCCAGTGCCTAACAAACCTAAACATTTCCCCCCTATACCCATCATCCCATCCAAACATTGAGACTCCTAATTTTTGCCTATTTCTATATCTCTATACATATTTAGGTGGAAGAAAGCCCCACTGAATCCACCAGGACTTACTTTATGGTAAACAAGGATAGGAATTCTACTGGTTTCAAAAAGGTCATACAACGCTAAAAACTACAAGCACTGAATACTATAAGTGGTAAATAATAGAGCTGGGTGAAAATTAAAACAGCATTTTAAAGACTCCAATTCAAAACTTCCTCAAGAACTAAAGCCAATGAGACTTAACTTGATACAATAATCACTTGGGGTTGAAATAAAAATACTGTAAAGGAAACACTAAACTGTCATCAGAATTCAAGGGACAACTGGTTTAAGACCACTGAGGAAAGACACAGGCTTTTCCCACTACCAGGAGGACGTCGCAACCACGCCTTAAGCGTTGCACTAAATAGGCGAATTTGGGACAGGGCGAACTGGCACTACAAGAATACAGAGGGAAGAGAGATTAGACGAGCCGTCTCACCTGCGACACTACCCCCGAAGACAAGCACTGAGACAGCATCAGTCCAGCCGCCGTAGGCTGCACAGGATCCCAAGGATTGGACGTAGTCATTATGGAAACACTTTCCCCGTCTGAATGTGGCGCCAGCCTTACCAGCCCTGCGCACGGCTACGCACGAAACTCCGCCCCTTACTGCCTGGAAACTCGCACCGCCATCACGGGTGTGGCGAACTGCTATCGCCATGTTAGGCGCTGTGCCGGGGGAAAAAGGCAGGGAGGTAATTTCTCATGTCCGTGATGGAAATAACGATGCCTCCTTTGCTTGACTCAGCCACGTTGGGTATGGCACCGGGTCCAGACGCCGTGTTCAGAATGGCGGTGCCGGGAAATGAAGTCAGTGGCCATCCGCCCGCCATGCTGACGGTGGCGGAAGTCTACCCGGTAAACTGGGTAATCGACTCCCCCCCCCCTCCTCCATTTAAGCTCTTCTTCGGGGGCAGGCCTCGCTATTATTAATGGTATCAGCTGATCCTGACTGTATCCAGGTCGCGCGTTTCAGGGATGCGAGAATGCGGGTGCCGATTCTCGCCCTGAGTTTTGCGTGTTGCTAGGGTGCAAGGCGGCAGCTGTGGTTGCAGGTAAATGGAGGCCGGTGCTTGTTTGCTTGCTTGCTTCTCAGAGCTCTGTTTCTTCTGCTGCTAGGCGTGGTTGCGATTTACGCCTTTTTAAAGTCCAGTGAAGCCCGTGGGCAAGTGTGCTTTGGGTGTCTCTGTAAACTTGGGGAGGAGCTGCAATTTTTACTTTTTCAGCCGCAAGGGGACTTGTTCGCAGATCGGTGTGCACTGCGTAATAATTGTATCTGAGCCGCCCGAGACTTCGTATCTGGATTCAGGAGTAAGCTCCGTTGGATGCGGTAGTTCCCCCTTCCCAAGTGTAACACACACCGACTTGAACGGGGTTTCCTTCTGAGTAAAGGTGGATAGGCTTGGGCTGCGATCCTCTTCCCTCTAGTTGCCGCAGCTTAAGCGGTATGTTTCGTCTTGCCCCCCCCCCCCCGGTGTTAATAAAAGATAGAAGACACGGGGGGGGGGGCCCTTACGCCTCTTCCCGAGCCGCGTGTTGTAGGTAACTGCTCGGTGGGATGTGGTTGGCTCTCTAGCCTCACGACCTTTCAGGGAAACGCAGTCTTTTATCTCGTCCTCTTTGGGTCATGAGTCTTCCCTCCAATTTCCCTTCCTAAACTCCACTTGAGGGAAGAAGGAAGCTGCTTCAAGTGCAGGCAGAGACCGCTTCGAAGGTACCAAATCATGGTAACTTCAGTGGGTTTAGGATTGCACTGTAAATGCTATCATTGAGTGACCAAAGGGTTTGGTGTGTATTTCTGATAGATTTTAGAGGGAGAGAAACAATATTCTGAAATCAGATATGGTATGAGCCTCTATAGCTAGGAAGGGTAAAGCTGAATGGATGGCATAGCCTTTCAGTTGCCAGTGTTTGTTTGTGTTGGAGGTACTTTTATGAAAAGCCTTTCAGTTGCCAGTGTTTATTTGTTTGTGTTGGAGGTACTTTTATGAAGGCAAGATGAGGGACTGGGGAGGGAGTAAATATTTGTAACTTACAGTAACATCCCTGCTTTTCCTTCTCTTAAGGCCGTAGGTGTGTTCACTTACCCATTCCTCAGTTCACTTTTATGAACTGGGCTGCCTTAAATGTGAAGATCAAAGCCACATCAGTGAAAAAATATCTACTTGAAGTCAGTCTTCTAGTGCAGTTGGTGTGGATGATTGCTGCACATCAGCTGAATCCTCTTGTGACTGGCACTGCTACACATCTTGTTTCTGCCTATAAAATTGTATAGGTTCAACCCTCAAATACTCCCAAGGAGTATTTTTTTTCTACGAAGTTACCCTAGTTAATGTGAGTGTGTTTGTGATACTTATGTACATCTGTTTTGGCAAATAGTTTTATTTTGTGTAATCTGTTGAGTCTAGTTTGGATGAAATGTGAATCCTAGTTGCTGACCTGTGGACTGTAGATAGTTTTCATTGCCAAACTGTGGCTCAAAAGCAAAAATGCAGAAAGTACGTGAATGTATCATAAAGTGAAAGCTATGGAAAGTGATGTCATGCGTGTTTATTTTCTGTAATTTGCAATATGCTAAGCTCCTGGGATAGATGACTAATAAATAAATGGAAGTCACAGCTTTAAACAGCGTAAAAGGTTTTTAATGGGCTGAGTTGCTGGGTTGCTTGTATTGATATGACCTACCTACCTGATCTTTTTGTACCAGACTGAGTAAAGTAATCTTCTTAGGCTGAGAGCCTCAGCATGCTCAGAAACAAATTGGTTTTAGATGAGCTGTTTGTCTAACACTTTACCTTTTATGTTGCATATTTCTATTTTTAAATGCATTCTTAATGTGGTAAAACTCATAAATAATGTTCATTCATGGACACTATACTAAGATGAACAGTATTAAAGGCACTTACCCAAGTGGGTATATTGGCAGGAAATTCCATTAGATAATTCTTTGTTTACTACATTTTATCTCACCCTTCATATGAGAAGCTCGTGGTGGGAGTACATTATCCTGCCTTTTATCCTTAGAACAACTGTCTGAGGTAGGTCAGCCCATGTGTGAGAGGGAGGGGCCTAGTAAGAGAATGAGATTTGAACTCTGGTGTCCCATGATGAATGAAGTCTGACACTCTTACCATTATATCACACTGCAAATATTTATTTACCTATCTTCTAAACTTTTGACTTTTATCAGAAAATAAATTCCTGTGACCTAATGCAGACTGAATGAAAGTTACTTAGCTGCAGTTGTTCCACAACAACCATTTTGTCAGTTTCTGACTCAAGAACGGGAAGATGGGGAACAGTGCCTTAAAAGCTCATTTGGAGACTGCCCAGAAAACAGGGGTATTTCAACTAACTGGAAAAGGCCTTTCAGAGGTAAATCTGTTTCGTGAACTACATGTGCTAAAAAATAATTATTTATTTTGTAGCATATTATGCCTTAAACAACTACTTAGTGGGAGAGCATGTGTGAGAATTGGATCCAAAAAAGTGTCAGCAGAAATAGGTGCTGAGGCAAATATTTGTCACCTCTCTTTTCCACCATCAGCCCCCGTTAGAACTCTGAAAAGGTGATGGTAGAAGTCCTGAAACATGTGTGGCCAAAAAGCATGAATGGGCTTGGGGCTTGCAGTGAGAAGGGAGAGCTGGTTGAAATTTCCCCTACTTTGACCACTGGAAGCATGGTGGTCACCGGGTTGTTGGAAGTGGAGGGCAGGAAAGATCTCTGAAATTTACCTCCTCGGATCCAGCCCTGAGAGTTTACAAGTACAGTAGATTGGAATCTTAATTAACAACCTGCACCTGATCCTATGTATGCATACTTGAAAGTAAATCTGTATTGAGGTCCCTGAAGCTTTTTTCATAGGCTAATGTGCATAGGACAGCCTTAAACAGTTGCTTCTGAAATCAGGCAATTTAGGCTTAGCCTTAAATATATATATAAACTAATAACGTACTGTGTTTGATTTCACCTACACTAGGGAACATGGAAACTTCAGCTAATGAATTATATAAAACAATAACACATTTTTTACTTTTATACTCCATTCTTCCTCATGGGAGGGGGGGAACCTGAATTGGTTTACATCATAATCCTTTCCTCCATTTTGTCTTCACAACATCCCTGTGAGGTAGGTTAGTCTGAGTGTGTGTGACTGGCCCAAGATCACCCAGCAAGCTTTCGTGACAGAATAGGAATTTGAACCTGAGTCTCCCAGGTCCTAGCCTGGCACTCTAATCACTGCACAAAAGTGGCTCTTTATTAACTTTCTGTTCCTTAGGACTCAGATTAGTCAATTAACAATCACCTGTTAATTGAGCAAAAGTCTCTTTTTTATTACTTTTACTCTTTTCACACCATTAATAATTTTGCAACCCCCTTTCACAATCTTGTAAATAAGTCTATGAAAGTTACTGGTTCCCAAATCTTCATTATCATGCTTGCATATAATTATTTAACTGTAACCTATCTGTAATTTTAATAAGATATCTTAATTGCTTTTTCAGTTTCCTGAAGATCTACAGAAGCTGACAAGCAATCTCAGAACAATAGATTTGTCGAACAATAAGATTGAGACTTTGCCTGCATTCACGGGAAGATTCTCTGTGCTGAAAAGCCTTGCTCTCAACCACAACAAACTGAGTATGACTTTGTAACGATTTCATGTTTAACTCTGTGTGTGTGACTTTAAAAGTTTGGATGCATGGCTGTATGATAGTCTAGGGTAGTGGAAACAAGCAAGTTGTGTGATTGGTGAGTGACAGAGAGGGGGAGGGGTTTTGGAAATGATTCTGTGTGGATGAGCAGATATGTCAGTCAAGAGTGTCAGTTAGAGATATGACAGTTGAGGAAGTCAGTTGATGTTCAGTTAAGAGTTTTAGTTCTGATTTCTGTGAGAGAAGCAGAAGATCAGTGAAGTTCTGTGTATGAGAAGAGTGAAGCATCCCTGTGTGGGATGAGTTTAGTTCTGGGGTCTGAAGGAGAGACCTTCTTGTGCGTGATATGAGAGTTAAGTGCTGTGTCTGAAAGAAAGTGACAAGCAGTTCTGTGTTGAAACAGTTATAAGCTGAAGCTGAGAGTCTAGGAAAAGGTAAAGATTATATGGACTTAAAGAAAAAAGTGTTACAAAGTTACATGCCCAGATCCCTGACAGTGGGAGAGAAAAGTGTGTGAAATATCAATAAATCTACTTTTATTTAAGATACCAGTTCTGAAAGAAATTCTTCCCAGGAAACACATAGTCCTTCGTGAACGCCTAAACCCTCGACTTACCTACCCAGTGATAGATATTATATTATAAAGGTTTGGAAAGCCTTATAAATTTCCTGGTGGCAGCCGGATTACCCAGTAGAGAAAAACATAAAGAACACTTTTAAAGGGAAACCAGACCTCCCCAGTAAAGGGGTCGTCACAGACTTCTTCAGAGAATCTTATCAGATATAAAATATAAATGAATTACAAGAAGTTTGATTTCATCGTTTTCTTCTCAGTTGTAAAGTAAGATAAGTGAATATGTTGATACAAAAACTCGTGACGTTTCACAATCTAATAG